CAATGACCATTTTAGCCATAAAAATTCATATTAAAATGAGCATTTTTGTCACATTCAAGTATTAGCAACTTTCCCCTAGGTGGGAAAGTTATGGGTATCACTTACCTGGGTAAGTGATCACTAAGAAAATAAACTTTTCCTAGTCTCCACATAAATATGAAAAAGGAACATAGGTTTCTTGGTCAATAGGAATCAAAATCCCATTGATCAACTTTCCCCCCTCTCAAAATCCAAAAAAAGAACGCCCCCTTAAAGTCAGGGCGGATTTAATGCTGTGCCTGTTTGGGAGGGTTTTCATGCAGCTGCTTCTGGTTTTGCAAGATAGGCTAGACCCCACACAAAAAGCTGTGAAGTTATATTTGATGAAAAGCCCGAAAAGCTAAAAACATACATCCATGAGCTGGAAAACCAACTTTCTGATGAAGCTATTTTTGATAGTTTTTCAAAATCAGCTCAATCAACAACAATTGAAACCCATCCAAATGGGCCTTAACAATGGTGAATTCTTTCCATAAGAAGACCTCCTAGCGCTTTGAGTTCATGTTTGGACCCAGCCTCTAACATCTAGGTTTGCCCACATTACGGTTAAGAAGGTGGCTTCTTGTTGAATATGGGAGATAGTGCTATTAATGGGTCGGGTCTGGCCTGGTCCAGGAAAGACCAGCCCAACCCGGTAAATAAATGTATAGAACCAGTTCCAAAAATTCTGTCATCGGTGCTATCGGATCTAACACAACAAGACCTTATTATAAATTGATAAACATATTTTTAACGTATAGAAGTACTACTTATTTGATAGATTTATACGTTTAGACATCATAATATGATAATATTGCAAATATGTGTAAAAAATATAGGTATTAAACTGGGGACATCTTTGTACTTTGTCATTATAGTACATAAATTAATATATATATATATAATCATAAAGCCCAGCCCAGACTGGCCCATGATCGCCCTTAAGAAACACCCATCTGGGGCTTGGGCTGGAGCCTTACCAAGTATGACCCAGATAAGGAAATACGATGGGGAATTTGGGTATATATGTGCAGCAAGATCACGATGCGAGACTATGATAAGAAATTGCGATACAATGTGTTGTTACAGCTTCATTTGGAAGGATTACAAATATAAATATATTTGTAGAATGCAAAACTTTGTATTTTGTATTATTTTATACTGTGTATATTTATATTTATACTCCTTCCGAACTGAGCCAACAAGATTCTTCTGCAATGAAGGCTGAGAGACCATTGCGATGTGAATTTGAGAAGTAACTGTACCATGGTTCCACTGACTAAGTATCGCCATCTCATCTCATCGCATTGTTACTACCATGCGATGACTGATCTAATAGTCGTGTGGTATATACTGTTTTGTCACAACTCGCAAGAGGACTGATCAGTCATCATAATGACTGATCTAATAGTCGTGGGCCAAGTTAGATTAGTTAGGCTTAGTCTGGTTTAAAAAAAGTTTATAATATTTATATTTTTACATAGCCATCTTTTATTGGTTTTTATGGCCCAATTTAAGAGTAGAGTTAATTAGAAAAAAAATGATATTTTTTTATATAAACATAATACATATATGTACGTATTTGTTTGGATGGTTAAGTCTGGATTGCATTGGGCCAGACTACCTAAGGCCTCAACCCAAGTCTACCCCAAGTTTAGGTTAAGCCCGAGTTTTCTAGTCAAGGCCCAGTCGCAACTTAAAAACTTAGGCCCAATCTAAAGTTGGTGTGAGGCACGCTCTTCACAACTAAGTTGTAATTAGAGAAATATCCTGCTACACCCGTTGGCTTAGCCTTGGGAAAAAGCCATGAATCACAGCCCTCAATGTATTGATGTGGCCCCACCTTGCATTGAATAAAGTGGTGCTACAGTGAGGCCACAAAATACCATGATTGTAATTGGTGTCACTGGTGTTCAAGTGAAAAAGCTATAACTCATGGTGAATCCCAATGTGCATCTACTAAGATATAAGGATTCAAGACCAGAGATGCAGTAAAATTTCCCAATGATTCCTTTGTGTGGTATTTTGGTGATACATCTGAATCCCAGCACCACACTGACTGAACCCCCAAAAAATTGATGGTTGCAGCAGAAATTGAATCCAGACTAGAGGTATCTACTGGGACAAACCAGCTACGCACCAACCGAGCCACCACCCCTCAGCCCTCAGTTGGCGTTACATCTAAACTGTAACTTATTCCTTTATGCCATGTTAGGATTTCAAGAAGGGACTAAGGCTGAGTTTGGAAGGAATACAAATGCAAATATGTAGAATGCAAAATCTTATATTTTGTATTATTTTGTATGTATTTACGCTGTACATATTTGCATTTGTATTCTTTTCAAGCTGAGCCTAAGGCTGAGTTTGAAAAAAGTATAAATGCAAATATGTAGAGCGCAAAACCTTATATTTTGTATGTATTTACACTGTACATATTTGCACTTGTACTCTTTCCAAACTGAGCCTAAGGTACTGATCTGGGCACTTGACAGAAAAAGAAATTCGATATAGCTCGATTTGATCAAATAAATATAAAATATACAAACCGATCTAATAAAGAATATGATAGTAAAACAATTCAATTAAATCTGATCAAAATTTGGATAATTGAATTTATTGGTCGAATTTAATTTGAATTTGATTATTTGGATATCCAATCAACTTCAAACGATTGTCTTTTTCTTAATTGGATTCGAATTTGAATATGATTTGATTTACTTCAAATCCACTCTATTTTTTAATCCAAATTCAAAACGTTTACATCCTTGATTGTAAGAGTTAAATCATGGGGGTTGATTCTGTCTTTTTAAATTGCATGATATGTTTCAACAGATTGATGTTGGCTCAATTGGTAAATTTTCTGGCCCATTGTAGCAAAGACTTGGGACTAAAAGGTGTCAATGGACCAGTTTTGAATTGGACCTTGTCCAGTCCAAAATTAATTTGAACAGATTGAATGAACCAACGAGACATATTGGATTGGACCAATTTGGTCCAGAATGCTTATTAAATTGGATTGGACCTTTGTTCATCCATAATAAATTTATATTGGATTGGATTCAGCCAATATATGGTCCATTGGACTGGGTTTGGGTTGAAACCAATCTAAACCAAAATGAATTTAAACAGATTGGACCATCCAGACATTGAATTTGACCGGTCCAAAATGGTCTAAAATGTTTATTGGATTGGATTGGACCTGGTCCATTTATAAAGGATTCACACCGGATTGGATCAGATTGGACAAAATCTAGTCCAATTGACACCCCAGTTGGGATCAAATGCCCGTGTCACCATGTTTGGGGTTATGGATATAGAGATGGGCTACTCCCATTGTATAGTTCCAATGGACTGTCAATGGGTCAGGTCTGATTTGGGATACGTTGTAATAGTTTCATTTCAATTATTAACCAGAACTACAAGAAAGATTTAGAACCGAACCAATTATTAATCAGGAGAATGGGTCTGACCTGGTTATACTTAGCATCTACAATTACCAACAATAATAATAAATTTAGAACTAAGGTTCAAAATATCGATACGTCTAATACGTCGGTAGGGATGTATCGGGCATTTTGATAATTGTTTTTTTACTTTTTTTCTATTTTTTTTTTCAAAACTGGTTCAGGGGAGCCGATCTAGGACCCCTCCATCCCGTGAACTGGTCAGACCCCTGATACACCCACTGTAGGGGGCATATCGGAAGGGTCCCGGAACGATACATATCGGCCGATACGTAATGATACTTTGAACCTTGTTTAGAACTTCATTTTGATAATATAACCTTGATAAATTGTTTATATGTGGATAAAAGGTGTTTTTAATCATAATTATCTTACGTACTGTTTATAAAAATTATCCTTTTAGGCATAAACTATAACAAGAATTACAAAAAAAAAAAATCAGATCTTTGTATGTTATTCACTATTATTATGGGCTTGAATTGGTTTGGAACAAGAACTGGTCCCAACCCAATTATTAATCAAAACAAAACCATAGAACCAGAATTGACATAATCGATTCAGTAGTTCTATCAGGTAGATTAATCCATTGATAGCTCCGAGTTCCATGAAGCCAAAAAAGGGTAAAAGACTTAACTTTCCTTGACATTTCACATAAATACTCAAACGTCCATCTCTTTTCAAGTCAGACTAAGTATGTGTTTGGTTTCGTTTATGTTTATTGCATAAACATTTGTATTTTATTTGTTAGTAAAACCGAGAAATGCAATAATTGCAGTTATTTATGACAACTAGGCGCCACTAGGCACCACTTCAGCGTAACAGTGAATAAACGCCTGGCTGTTTGTGGAAGTTTCAAAAAATAACTTCTACAAACGGCAGTCATGCACATAAACCAAAGTTCACTTTTTACATTTTAGATTTATGCAGAACAGCAAGAGAGAGAAAATGCTGAGATGGTGCCTATGTGGCACCATCAATAAATGTTTACTGAATAAATGTAAACGAAACCAAACACCCTCTAAGGCTTTTCCTATTTAGTGAGTGGTAGGGGTGCAAATCGGGTGCACTGGGCTAGATTTAGCCTCAACCCAGGCCCAATTCTAAAAATTAGGCTTAAGGCCCAAGCCAAGTCTAAACCGAAATTTGATGCACTTGGGTTTCTTGGGCCCTGGTAGGGATCTGGTAAATTAGCCTATATTAAAATTTAACACAAATGTGATTCGAACTATCTAAAAAGGCTAAACCTGAATTCAAACCATAAAATAAAAAAAGCCCAAACTTTTAGACCTAAGCCTAATCAAAGCCCTAAAATCCAAGCCCAACCCATATAGAATTGTGGATTAGGGTTGGTACTGCCCAAGTTATACCCCTTAGTGAGTGGTGACATCATTTGACAAATAACTCCCCTAATCCATCAAGACTCAATTGCACATGATAGATGAAACTGAATTTTCACAAGTACAATTATTGAAGTATCAAAGATAATGGAATTAATTTCAATTGGCATGGGATGGTGAATAAGTCATCATCTCAATTTTTTGTTTCCATAAATGAAGACACAACTCGTGTGCAGAGTGCAGTATTAATCAATTACAAACAAAAAGGAGACAATTACAAGTAACTGATACAAATTACAAAGGGAAGACAAATAGAAAGAGATGAATTTCCCGACCCCTAGCTGTTAACCAACCATGCTTGATGCTTGGATTGGATGGGTCTTTCGGGGTTGGAGTTGGACTGCTGGTAAATTTATTTTATTTACACACAGAGTAGAACTGATCCATAAGCTTTGATGTTTAAACCACGTACAACGTCAATCCAACACTTGCTGCGTTAAGTTTTGAACTTTTGATGATTTTCGTGGCTTTCCTCTCTAAAATCACGGGACCATGGGATCAAGCTCGTTGAAGGGAAGCAACAAGTACAGTTACTTGGGCACGTCTCTGGTCTAGTCCACATCTTTCTAATTTTATCTCCATGAGAAGAACTTTGCTTCTGGTGGAAGTGGAGGTGGACCTCTCCACCATCACTTCCACGGGACCATGGGATCAAGCTCGTTGAAGGGAAGCAACAAGTACAGTTACTTGGGCACGTCTCTGGTCTAGTCCACATCTTTCTAATTTTATCTCCATGAGAAGAACTTTGCTTCTGGTGGAAGTGGAGGTGGACCTCTCCACCATCACCGTGGGAAGGTGCCGTTGCATCCTCCAGTGGACCCCAACATTCTAAATGATTGAACTCTGGAATGTTGGAATGGAAATAAACCCAAACCAGAGCTTCCTTCAACTCTGGGTAATTGTTGAAGAGGTACCCATCTCCATGAACAAAGGCCTTGAGTACCTTTTAATTTCATACAACAAACTAATTAATGAGATGGGGGATAAAGAGATGAATTAGTTAGCAACGAGAATACATATTAATTAAAGATCTGTACGTACCACTGGGAGCTCCTTGCGGAAGATGAAGTATCTAAGTCTGGCACAGAGATCTAACAGGAAATGACCTCCACTTATGTGACAGTGAACATGGAGGGACATCTTTCCTTTCACTTTCTTCCACTCTGCAACCACTTCATCTCTTTGGAGTTTGTGGTACCACCCCTCTAACTGCATGCACATAAGCTCTTATCTTATCAGTTTATTGAATCAACCTATTCTATATATTTTAATCTTTACACTTTCTAACAAAGAAAACCAATCATTCTTTCACAAAGCAAAAAAGAAGAAGAAAAGAACAAAAAACCCATAAGTTTTTTTCTTTTACTAAAATTCAAAGTTTCTAACGATAAAAGAATAAGATTTTGCATCTGGGTTCACGTAGAATTGGGTTACCTGGGAACTATTGATCGTATGAGAGATAGCCAGAGTGAGTTTAGCGGTGATATCGCTGTGGGTAAGCGTGTAAGCTCTCGGAAGATTACCAGGGTGTTTCTTTTGATCCACCCCTAAGAATAAAACATTCAGCTTGGATGCTTCAAAAATGGCAGGTCCAAAAAGCCTCGCAATCTGAAAAACAAAAAAAAGAGATACATCTAAATATCTAATCCTACAATAGAAGTCAACACCCATATGGATCGAATAAAGAAAAGAAATTAAAGAAAGAAATACCGGAAAAATCGATCTGTAGGAGCGCTTCTTCACAGAGCGATTACCATAAACGAGGAGCGAGCTTTTGTGTTCTGAGAGAGATGGAGATGGCTTTAGTGGCGTTGAGAGCATAAACATAGCCGCACTAAAACCCATCTCACAATCTCAGAATCAAGAGACGAACCCCAAGTCTCTGCTTGAAGCTCCAATGTAACTTCAATGGCTCCCTCTGCTTCTCTCTCTCTCTCTCTCTCTCTCTCTCTCTCTTTTCTGAATAGTTCTACCGAACTTTCGGTATCTGATCAGGCTTTTGCTTTTGCTTTTTCTGGGAGTTTTTGTGTTGCTTCACGAACACGAATAAAGTTTGTTTTAGTCGGAGAAGGCGGAAAGCGAGAGTAAGTCGCGGAAGCGTGTTGGACTGATCTTTCTTCCCCGGTAGCGTAGGAGGACTGCTTGAAACTTGAAAGCCTCTAAGAACTTTATGGATAGCGGCTCTCGTCAACTGGTACTAAACTACAGTCTACATGCTTTTCCCATGTGAAATTTTCTTTTCTTTTTTTGGGATGGAAATCAATCTGCCACCCCAGTGCTGAGATGTTTGTCGGCCCCAGATCTGCTACAAGCCAAGACGTAGACCATATGTCAGTGAATATCAAATTATTAACAGGGGAGAATGACGGTTAAGCCCAGACTTTTAGGCCCAAATTACAGTTCGGATTTAGGTCTAAAATTTCCCTAATATTTCCACACATATTTCCTCCATTTTTATGGGTACGAAATTTTACTGAATCAACATTTCTCCGATGAACATTACTAGACCTATGTAGAGTACAAGAGATAGTATTCACAACATATTTCTATTTTTACTATCATGGTAGCAACATGAAATTTTATTAGAATTGACATATTTTCTAATAAACACTATTAGTACTATGTAGAGTACAAGAAATAAACTTTGACCTAGCTCAATATTCATTTCAAAGTTAAATAATAGTTTTTGTTTCTATAGTAGATTATTTGGTTGATATATTACAACCATTTACATTTTCTATGAGTTTAAATTTTGCGTTAACTAATTCTATCATGAAGTTCTAAATTTTAAGGTTTACAGGGTAACTTCAGAACATATTCTTTTGTCTATAACCTTAGTTTCTTAGTTTTGTTTAATAATTTGGAACAAGATAATAATTTAAAAAAGTGTGACTATGCTTTTTTTGTCATTTCATAAAATATCATTCAATATTTTGCATATTTTACAATATTTCCACCATTTCTATAATTTTTATAATATTTCCATACGATATTTCTGATATTTCCAACATTTTCTTATATTTGAATGACCAACATTTCCACCAATATCGACATTTTATACCTTGGTTCGGATAAGTGCCAGTTTAGAATTGATGCTAATTTCGGAATTGATGCTAATTTACAAATCATCTTTGTAAACTATCAACGCTGTTACCCCTAAATTGCCATCTCTTACTTGCATGTTTGAAGAATCAATACCGACTGTTGAATTTGATTGGGCCAAATCAAAATCAGCATGATCAAATTTTCTTTAACTATCTGTTTCAGAGCTTTTACCCATAAAAAATGATTCTCTCTCTCTCTCTCATCCTTTTCTTCTTCTACAGACTCCTCTTTTGATCACCTTATCCAATCCGATATATATTATATATTTATAAATATATATAATACATATACATGGTATTTATTTATTTATAAATATATTTTTATATTATTAATTTTTGTAATAATTTATTAATTTTTAAAGGAAATAAATCAGATCGGATCAGATCCAAGATCCAATTATTGATAGAATTCGAATTCAAATCCAGTCCTATCAAATTCAATCAGATCTTCGAGTAAGATCTGATTCGAAAATACCTGGTTAAAATTCAGTTTGATCCGTTTACTTTCCTATGCTACTGTTCTACTGGGGAGTATATGTAGTCAATATCAAATTATTAATAGTTACTGATCATATTTGTAAATTATCATCGCTGTTGAATCCTTAAGGCTCAATTTGAAAGGAGTACAAATACAAATATGTACAGTACAAATACATACAAAATAGAACAAAATACAAAATTTTGCATTCTGTATGTTTGTATTTGTACTCCTTCCAAACGGAGCCTAAGTTGCCATTTCTTACTTGCATGTTTCAAGAATCAATACCCACTATTGGGTTCGATAGGACCCAATCAAAATCAACATGACCAGATTTTCTTTAACTATCTATTCCAGACTCTCTCTCTCTCTCTCATTCTTCTTCTTCTTCTTCAACCCAACACTGTCACTGTCCACCATTGCGGACTCCTCTAACGCTGTTGATTGCTAGCCATTTTATTAATTCATATTGGCATGTTATGTTACTGCAGGTATGCAAATGGATCAAATCCAATTCTATTTAGTCCGTTTCGGATCACCCTTATCCGATTCGATATATGTTATATATTTATAAATATAATATATAATATATATTATTTATTTATTGATAAATATATTTTTTATATTATATTTTTATAAATTTGTTACATTAAATTAGTATATTTTATAAAAACATGTATATATGATGATAATAATTAAAAAATATTTATATTTATATTTTTTTACTTTATTTAAATTAGTATATTTTATTTTTATAATAATTTATTAATTTTTAAAGAAAACAAGTTGTATCAGATCAAATCCGAAGAGTCAATTACCGATAGGATTTGAATTCAAATCAAGTCCTATTGGATTCAATCGGATCTTCAATCAGACTGAATCCAACATAAACAATGTCAAATTGGATTCGAATATACCCTGATTTGAGTCCAATTGGATCCATTTGCATCCCTATGCTACTGGTCTATTGGAAATATTTGCAACACTGGGGACCTAGTCTTGTTACAGTATTGGTTTTTCTAATTCTAGCGCTGGTCGCTCATGAAGACTTCGGTGGTTTCTTCTCGTCTTGCTGTTGCCGTTGCCTTTTGGGTTGATTAATAAAAATTTACGAGAAAGGGATTAATTTTTAAAAATGTTTTGAATTGATCAATAAAAATTGTTATTTTCACCTAAAACATCAAATTTCATTTTTCAATTGAAATGACACCCTAGAACTAAATGATAGATGATAGGGCAACACATATCAATCACAAATCTATATATCTATATTATTATGAAATGGGTGTATTCTCCTTGCACATGTACGTAAAAGTTAAACAGAACAATCCAATCGTCCGAGGCCCATTCATCCTTCTGGGAATCACCACCACCCCCAACACAACTGTTGGATTCAGCTACTGCAACTGAAATGTCTTCTTGCTGCTGGGTAGGTGGCCATTTCTATGGAGGATTATCGGAAACTGTTGCGTTAGTTAAGCCTTCGCCTCCGCTCAAGGAAGAAGACAGGGTTGAGGTAGATGTAAGAGGGCTTGGGCTCCTTCTTGTATCGGAGAAATCTCTGCAACTTCTAAAACCCCCTACCCCTGCCACCACCCCCAACGCAACTGTCGGGTTCAGCTATTGCATCCAAGCTGTCCTCTTGCTGCTGGGTAGGTGGGCAATTCTGTGGAGGATTATCGGAAACTGCTGCACCGGTTGAGCCGCCGCCTCCGCCCAAGGAAGAAGACAAGGTTGAGAAATGTCTGCAACTTCTAAAACCCCCTTCCCCTGCAAATTAAAGGGCAATTACCCAGAAGCCAAAGCTCTACAAAAAAACTAAAAGAACGCCCGGATTCATACAAATGAGGAAGAAGAGCAGAACAAAAGAAAAGAGGAGAGCAAAACGTCTCTCTTTCTCTCTCTAAAAATTTTTCTTTTTATGTAATTGGGATGGTCAAGAGGGAAATGAAGACTTGGACAACAATCATTTAGAGGCCGTGATGAACGAGGAAAGTGCTAATTGTGACCAAGATGAAGGTCGAGAAGAAGAGGGGTCCAGACATAACGAATGTTTTCCAATGAAGACTCTTTGCTAGAATGTCCGTGGGGCTGGAAGGCCCAAATTTTGTCGTCAGACTTTGGAACTCCTAAGGTTGCATAAGCCTGATGTATGTTGTTTTCTTGAAATTAGAGTTAATCCTAGTAGATCAAAAAAGATTATCAGCTCGTTTTCTCGTTTCAATGACCATTTTGTTGTTGATTCTGTTGGTTTGTCTAGCGGCTTATGGGTGCTATGGGATAAGAACAAATGCAATTGATGTTATATTTTGACTTGTTCACACCCTTACTACTGATTTGTCAAATCAGAAATCATATTTATGCACTTTTGTCTATGATCCCCTAACAAGACAAGCCAAAAGGGAGTTTGGGAATGGATTAAGAACATTGGTGATAATACTAATAGAGAATGGTGCCTTATTGGGGATTTCAATGCATTCAGGTCCAATGAAAATAAGAGGGGAGGAAGAACCATTCATCCTTTTCATACTAAGGATTTCAATAATTTAATCAGTGATTGTAACCTCCTCGAAATTAACATGATTGGGAATCATTTTACTTGGAGAAACAAATCTACTTGGAAAAGGTTGGATTGGGTTTTTGCCATGATGAGTGGAGGAGAGAGTTTGCTGATGCAACTCTCACTAATCTTCCTTTCTTATCATCTGACCATTCCCCCGTCCTTCTCTCTACTGAGTTGTTAGCCCAAAGGGGCCTTAAGCCTTTCAGATTTGAAGCAATGTGGCGTGAGGATCCCAATCTTGTTGATGTTATTTCCCATTCATAGAGTCATAATACTACGGGGTCTAGAGCTCTCCAATTTATTAAGAAAAAGAATTTTCTTGTTAAAAAATTAAAAAAAAAATGGAACAAGGAACATTTTGGTAATATTACAAAAAAGAATGAGCTCCTTCAAAGACTTAATGAAGTTCAAAGCAAATTACCTGAGAATCCAAATGATAGAACCACCATTAATCTGGAGCTTGCTCTCCAAATTCAATTTGATAATATTCTTAAACGAGAAGAAATCTTCTGGGCATAAAAAGCCAGAATTGATTGGACGGATTTTGGTGACAAACACAATAAATTTTTCCATACAATGGTTACTATTAGAAGAAATTCAAATAGAATATTCAGATTAAAAAACGATGAGAATGACTGGATAGAAGACCAACAACAATTAACAGACTTTATTGTCAAAAAATTTGAGGAGAGATATAAGTCTGAGAATGTTCATGGGGTGGATGATTTCATCAAAAACATAAATCCTTGCATCTCAGTGGAGCAAAACAAATTACTTTGTAAGGAAGTTACAAACAGAGAGATTTGGGAAGTTGTTAACTCAATGAAAGACCTCAAAGCTCCAGGCCCAAATGGGCTAAATGCTCTCTTCTTCAAAAAATTTTGGAATATCATTGGAAACACGGTGTGCAATGTCATAAGAGCTTTTTTTTTTATTCCAAAAAATTAAATAAGGTTCTTAATGAAACATTCATCACTCTTATTCCCAAAGTTAA